TACAGTGACTGGTATCTTTAAGACAGTGAGTTACAGTGACTAGTGTCTTTAAGACAGTGAGTTACAGTGACTAGTATCTTTATGACAGTGAGATACAGTGACTAGTATCTTCATGACAGTGAGTTACAGTGACTGGTATCTTTAAGACAGTGAGTTACAGTGACTGGTATCTTTAAGACAGTGAGTTACAGTGACTAGTATCTTCATGACAGTGAGTTACAGTGACTGGTATCTTTAAGACAGTGAGTTACAGTGACTGGTATCTTTAAGACTGAGTTACAGTGACTAGTATCTTCATGACAGTGAGTTACAGTGACTGGTATCTTTAAGACAGTGAGTTACAGTGACTAGTATCTTCATGACAGTGACTTACAGTGACTGGTATCTTTAAGACAGTGAGTTACAGTGACTGGTATCTTTAAGACAGTGAGTTACAGTGACTGGTATCTTAAGACAGTGCGTTACAGTGACTGGTATCTTTAAGACAGTGAGTTATAGTGACTGATATCTTTAAGACAGTGAGTTACAGTGACTGGTATCTTTAAGACAGTGAGATACAGTGACTAGTATCTTTATGACAGTGAATTATAGTGACTGGTATCTTTAAAACAAAGTGTCATTGAATTGAATTGAATACCCAGAAATAATTAAAATTAAATCATTGAAAATAAATCTTTTCCCAGTAAATTACTTACCAAACTTGCGAGGCTTTTTAAATGTATTGAATTGTGATGGTTGCCCAACTAAACCAAGTTCTTCATATGTATCTTTGTCAACAGATAAAACCAAGGTACCTTAAAGATTCAAAGTCAATAGTGATAATTAATGCATCACTGTCATCAGCCAGGTTTTATACATATGCTAAATCCAAGTGCTGGGAAATAATTGTCAGTGTTATTGTTTGTGCTTTGTCCAACTTGAAATTTGTTACCAACTGTCAATTCTCTGGAATGACAATATTATGGCGAACCATAAAAAAAAACACGATACTATCGGGTAGGATCCAACAGAGTGCAGAGGTTATTCAATTTGTCAAACAGCAAATGTGAAGATAGCGCCCTCTATGTTAAATACACTTTATTGTCACAGTGAATGACTACAGAGGGCACTCTACAAAACTGGGGCAGCCATACCTGTGGGTAACACAGCCACTACATTTCCATTGTCAATACATGTTCCCTGTGATAAAGCATAGAATTTGCCTGAAATAAAACAAAAATCAAAATTAATAAAAATCTGAATAAATTACTTGACCACATTTAGAATACTGTATTAGCTCTAGTAGAAACACACATATAAACAAAAAATCGCATTTGGAAAACACTGTATTATTAAAATATCACTTTTTTGTACCAAAGAAACACTTCTTTAATTTATGTAAGTGTAGTAATGGAGTGAATCTGGGATGCAACTGTTCTGTTTCATAAGGAATGCCTGTTTATGTTTTAACACAACCCACAGTTGTTAAATATTTTGTTTTTTTATTTTTCAATTCACAAAACATTCATATTGACCTCTAGTTCAGCTCAGTGACAGATCTCTCTGTAAGAAGCAGAGAACAATAATTATTTAAATATCAGTTCACCATTCACTGTCTCGTATAATTCCAACTCATTTCAAATGCACAAGAAAGTTACTTGGCTCATTAATAATTCA